GCCCATGGTCTTCTCTGAAAACGTCAACCGAGAAGATTATTGGATGCACCAAGCGGCGCCACAATGATCGGATCAGCGGGCGGTCCCTGCAGTTGACAGCCCGGGCTAGAGGCCGTTATGATTATTCCTTCCGCCAACTAAGAAGAATGACAGCAAAATCGGCCAGAGAGGACCAAAAAAAATAATAGACTCAAATAGCAACCCCCCTCATGGAGCAGACCTGGAACGTTTGTGATATCCGAAAGCTCTACGAACTTATTTGCAAGGCTAATGGTGAGTTGTCTTCACTGAGTGACTCATTTCGTGATGTGAATGGCCGCTTTACTGCTGAAAACGCGACCAAAATCAAACGCTGTCGTGAGCACTTTGAGGACTACATCAACTTTTATACGGAGCCCACCGCCCATCTGCTCCCACCTACAACAGAGTCTCCTCCACCTCTCACTTATCCAGTTTCATACGACCCGCCTTCTGAAGCAGAAATCGCTGACGCCATAAAAAGGCTGCGCAACAAAAAGGCACATGGAGAGGACGGCATACCCGCTGAAATCTACAAGTCTTGTGCCAACATTCTGGCGCCTTGGCCCATGTATTGGTTGGAAAAGAATATAAAGACGAGGCCGTTCCTGATGATTAGGGCTCAGACGTCCTTGTGCCTGCCAAAAAGAAGGGGAGATAAGACAAAATGGGAGAAATACAGCGGCATGCACCTTATCAACATTGCTGTGAACATTTTCGCTATTGTTATCCTCAGGCGGTTCCAGTCTGTGCGCGACTCCTGGACGCGACCCAGCCAAATAGGATTTCACGCTGGGCGTGGATTTGTGGATTAGATATTCACACTGAAACTACTCCTTGAAATCCGCCATAGCTACCAACAACCAACGGCCATTTGATTTGGTGACTTTGCCGCTGTGGTTGACTCCGTCCATCGTGACTGCCTATGGCAGATAATGGCCTGATGGTGTACCACCAAAAATAATAGCTATTATCAAGGTATACTACCGGTCCCACACTGCGCGGGCTTTAGTCCACAGCGACCTCTCAGAACCCTTCGCTATTCGGTCTGGCGTTCGATAAGGCTGTGCCCTGTGGCTTATCATCTTTAACTGCGTCACTGACTGGGTTCTCGGGAAATGCCTACAGGAAAATGACGGTATTGAGCGGTTGACTGACTTCGAGTATGCCAATGATATCACTTTACTAGCTTCAAGCTTTGGCGACCTACATTCTATGGTGTCACGGGTGAACGAGGTCGTGAAATCGGTCGGTTCGTCCATAAACCCTGGGAAGAGAAGGCATCTCCCGGGATTAGTGACTGTCAACTTGTAGAAGTGGACAGTTTCAAATAACTCGGAGCGAGGTTTCTGCCGAATGGTCAGAGGGAAGATGACATTGTCTACCGAACTGGCACAGCAAGACGAGTTTTCTCAAGCCTTCGGAAGTGCCTATGGACCCGACGCGATATTTCTATCTGACAAAGATCCACGTGTACCATGCGTCTGTGCGGTCTGTTCTCCTATACAGATGTGAATGCTGGGCTATGCGCGTGGAAGATGAACGGAAACTGGAAGTCTTTGACCACTACTGTCTGGGGAGCATCCTTCGAATGATGTACACCGCCTTCATCTCAGGTGAGACAATCCGCACCCGCTACGACAAAAGCACATGAATATGCCAGGCCGGCAAAAGTAGCTTATGTAGCCCCACTTATGTACCCCTAGTCCCAGCATTTTATCCTGCAAAAACGGTGATTATAGAGTTTTCGGGGGTGGGGAACTAGGATAGG